CACCTCTCCTGTAATAATAATTTCCTAGAGAAAATATCTAACATGTGCTTTAATATATACGGAAATGTTCAAAAGTTTGGGCTTAATTAGATTTGTAATGTTTTTGCATTTATTTGATCAAACATACAAAAACATTACTATTGTTAAATGTTATTACAATTTAAAATAACTGTTTTGTATTTTGATTTATTTTCAAATGTAATTTATTACTGTGATGCAAAGATTAATTTTTAGCAGCCATTGCTTCAATTTTCAGGGTCACATGATCCTTCAGAAAACACATACACAGTGTACTGTATATATATATATATATATATATATATAAGATAATATATCTGCTTTCATCAATCACTGATGCTTACTTTGATCGTTCAACAGCTGACCTCTAAGGACAAACCTCATCAACAAGGGTGCAGATTCCCTATACTGCAGTCAGAATACACATTTGAAGAGATGCGTGAGTTCGCATATACATCAACCCTAGTTGTACAACATTATATACCTAATAAAGATGCTCATCTTAATGGCACCATATTTTCAAATTGTGACTTTTAAAAAAATCACATTTCTGTTTTACTCTTATTGCATGCATTCTCGGCATTTCAGTATCTAAACCACATGCAACTCCAGATTAAGATCCTGTCCCAGACCTGGCAAGCTTTGTTCTTTGCCTTTTGTTCAACCCGGATTAGCAATCAAAAGTAATGTTTTATATGCCTAGCAGCTCCTGATACCAATTAACTGCATGTCTTTTGTATCAGTAGTAAGAGGTTTAGCTCTATTCATCAAATGGATGCCAAAGGGTGGAGGGAGCAACTGATGGAGCATCAGCACTGCACTCACTCCCTGTACAGCATGTGTATGAAAAGCTCAAACTTTGATTAAAATGAAACTACAAAGTGTGGCCTCCACATGTTTCAGTGAATCTGTATCTAATATGATTCTTAACCTCATTCAATTGTCTCCCTGACAGCTACTTGTCAGCTGGTGCAGATGCAGGCCAGAATAAGTGAAAAAGCCAGAGAAAAGCGAATATCTAAAGTTGTCCACCCATCTGCCAGGTAATCAGATCATATTTCTCTCCTTGCACCATCCAGTATCTTACTGATCAAAGAGTACTGACATGATCTGCACGCCACTTCGAATGGAATCCAAAAGGAAAAGTGCTAGTTCACAGCATTACGTTTCCCAGGAAATGCATAAACTGCTAAAATGCATGCCTGGAATGCTATGTAAGTCGCATTGGATAAAAGGATCTTCCAAATGCATAAATGTAAATATAAGAAAAAGTTTTTTAAATATTCGCATAACATAGATAACATTTTCTTCTAAGGAACTTTTTCTGTTTCCTTTTCTGTTTTTAGTATGTAATTAGTTGACAGGTATTTGACCCTGCACAACACCATTGGTGGTTTGCTTTAAGTTTTTACTAGCTTTACCTTTGTGACCTTTTAATTTATTTTTTAAAATAATGAGCAATAACAGAGGTCTGTTTAATGATTTGCAGCTTCATGATGATCGAGAAATGTGTATGTGTTCTAGCAGTGGTTGCAATTTGTTACTTTTCTGTAACAAATCACTGATCTGTTTTTCTGTTACAAATCAGTTTCTGACTCATCGCTTGTTCTGACTTCAGGTCACGCAGGGGCACACGGAGGCGTGAGGAGAGAAAGCTCAAACAGTTGGAGATCACCCAAATGATGCGAGAGAGACAGTTGCGAGAGGGAGCCTCGCCGGAGGAGGAGGCCGAGGAGGCCCCTTACACTGCAGATTGGGAAGGTATACCTCATGGCTTTGTGTTGTGCCCACTGCTGTTTCAGTTTCTTGGCCCTTGAATTTAATTTTATTCACTGCTTTCCAAGGCTATCCAGAGGAGACCTATCCAGAGTTTGACATGCCCTCCCGCAGACGCAGATTTCCTAGTATTATACTTGAAGAAACAGACCAAGTCATACCCACAGCAGAGGAGCTTGCTGAGAGAATGAAGGAAGAAGAGGAGGAGGCTGAGCCTGATGATGCGTGTACTAAAGAGGAGAATAATGAGGGAGAAAAAGAAGAGGATGACAAAGATGAAGAGGAATATGAAGAGGAAGAAGATGAGGAGGAGGAAGATGAGGATGAGATTGGAGAAGACCAGCCTTGTCTTCCTAAAAGTATTGATGAGGATGATGAGAAACTTGAGTACCCAGGTGAAAAAGAAGAGGAACAGAAACCAAGCAGAAGACGACAAATCACTTTTAGTGATCACAGACACGTCTTCCATTATCCAAAGGGTGGAGCTGTTGGCTGCAAGTATGAGGAAGAGGAACACGATGGAGAAGAAGAGGAGGACGATGATGATAAAGGGAATGAAGAGGAAGAAAATGGTGATGATGAAGACTGTGAAGAAGAGGAGGAAGATCTACGTAATGAAGATGGGCAGGGTGAGACAGAGAAGGAGGAGGAGGATCCCCTAATGGAGGCTGAGAGCCTGGGATTCAATGATGAAGTGGAATGTGATCCTGAGGAACAGGAAGTAGACCTCATTGCCTTCCTACAAACGTATCAACCTGAGGTAACCATCATCTCAAACAAGTCAGAGTCTCCCAAAGCTCAAGCCTCTGGGACTCTTAGAATGCGTCACAAGAAACAAAAGGTGAAGAAGTGACGAGCTTGTCAAAAAAACAATAGTCTTCTGTTCGAATACCCTCTAGTTCAACATACCTTACTGTGAATCTTTCTTGCTTCGCTTAAGGAAACAGTTTCTCTGTAACCATTTAGGCTTTTCTAAGATTTCATTAATCTGATTCCAAGAACAGCTAGAGAACATTTTAGAGTATGTTGTGTCAAAAATAGGCACTTTTAAGACCCTTTTTCCAAAGAAAATCTTTGCCAATAAAACATTTACAAACAGAAGTAGCTTTTTGTGAACATTATTTCATGAGCATTTAATTACTTTACCACAAATGCAATGATTTCATCTTAAATATTTGAGATTCGAAAATTCACGTTCAGATTTATTTATTTATTTTCAAATCTTGAGTACTGTATACAAACACTATATTGACCAATGTACACATTTTACAAAACAGTGTGACATAACAGTTATACATTATCACTTTAACACAAGACTGGTGAGGGTTTTTTTAAACAATAAAAAATAGCAGAAAAACACATTCAATTTCAGTGTTTTTAACCATTTAGCGTAAACCCAAAATGTTAGAGCATTACATAAAGTATAGAAAGTGCTGGAATGGTTTCGCAAGGCAGTTATTAACAAACTAATAACTTACACAGATTTCTTTGCAGTTTCGCTAAAGAATTTTATATATATATATATATATATTATTTTCTAAAAAAAAAAAAACATATTAAAAATATTTTTCTGGGGGAAAGATATGTTTCAGAACGTAATGTCTAAAGTCACAACATATCTATGACAAGAATAGTAACAAAAAAGGTAAGCCATTTGCATCACACTTCATGCCCTTATCTTGGAAGAAGAAAAGCTAACATTCTAAATATTACTTTTAACTTAAAATGCAGTTTTGTGCAATTACGAATGTTCTGTGTGATGGAAACAAACATGAATTTTTCACATTAAACCAAAGGGGCTCTCAGCAGGAAACACAATTATGATAGATTAATTTCTTAAAAACACATTCATTCAACATTAACGTTCTAGATTTTAGACAATGACACATTTTTTGAAGACTTTGCTGTGACATTTGACTGAAATAAAAAAATAGTAAGATCAAAATAAACTACAAATCATGCTAATGCATTATAGAGCAGATCTAGTCAATCTGTGTGGCCATCTGAAGACTTCTATAACACTTTAAAGAATAGTTTGGCTTTAAAGTACAGCAGGTTTTTGTATCAAGATTTTTTTTAAACTAAATTGCCACACTGATAATACAACTTCACTTATTTCCTTTCTTCATTAATCAGGAGCACTGTTTAGCAAAGAGAAGTGTACAAGCTATAGTACAATTAAAGATGATGATTTGAGTTTTGTGTAAGTTCCACTTGGACACTTTGTTTAATCCACATTTTCACAACTACCCTCATGCAGCAGATTTCATAGATGACTTGAACAAACTGTGTTGCTGAGTATGTTTACATGCACAGTTATAATCAAGCTTCAATCCCTTTATCAAGTTCTGGTCGTCAAACTTTGCAACATCTGACCAGTGCAATTTCAACTGGACTAAAGTGTTTCCATGACAAATTATTAATGTAGGCAGACAGAAATCAAATTTTTAAAAGTGCATGTAAACGTACTTACTCATTGTAGTGACTCTGCTCTGGAAAATCAGCTACTCCACAAGCAGGAAACTAAAGCTGATCTTTCTGGAAAGCTACAAGTCTAGTATACTGGAAAAATACAGGTTGTTTTCAAGAACAAAGACAGAAGCTTAAAAAGACCTGCATGACAAACAACACTGGCTGAAGAAAACTGTAGCATCTTACCAACTTCAAGCATCACAAGTGTTTCGTCCAAAGGCACGATATTTACAGCTTTCCACCATTAATCTCTAAATAAAGTGCTCAGTACATTCCCCTACAAATGTAGCGGGTCAGTATGAGATGATAATGTACTTACCCTGATATTGACCCTCACGTAAAATGACTTCGTACACACTTCTTCCACCATGTAGGACTTCAGGTGCTTTCACACTAGAGCTACTGGTGTGGACCTGGATATGGTAAACCATTCATTTTGGTTTGTTCTAATGATATAAAAGCCATTTTTGGATCTCATGTCCTCTTAAATCTGTATGCAAACCATCCAGGAGGACACAAAGTCATAATGATTACATCTATTTTGTGGAATTGTCACACATTCATCAGTTCAATTTTAGGAAATCCGCACCAAAAGCTCGAATGTGAAGGCACCTTGGTCAAGCTTTGTGCTTGAAGCACAGTGAATTACGGGGTAAGACACAATCAGCAAATGGTATGGAAATCTATAAATACATAAATAGTGGTTAAATATGTCAGACTGTCATACATTGTGAAGCATGAATTGATATGTTACATATTTAAATGGCATGATGAATGACACAAGTGACATGTATAACTGAAGAAATGTCACATATGAAAGTCATTTACAAAAGTCCATTAAATCAAATACCCAAACTGTTATATCACAGCTACATGTTATATTTCTTGTGAAAACTCATAATTGATTGGTTAGTGAACATTAATTCTTTTAGAATTATGACCATGGAAAAATTATTTTCGTTTTTAATCTTAGGGACAAAAGTACTACTGTAAAAGATCCTTCTTTTAACATTAGCAAAATGTTAGTTTTACCTTGACGGTTAAGTAAAGAAAGCGAGTAGGAGATTTTTGACTGTCGATTCAAATGAATGCATCCTCTTCTTATTAATCTTCCCAGTTTGAGCTTTGAAGTCTTTGTGCTTTCCCTCAACTGTGATGCCCTTTTTAAAAAAAAGCAGAAATGCCACTTTGCTCACGCACATTCACACAAGAAGACAAACTCGATACGCATTCATGCCTCCAAAGGAGGATCTTGAGAGAGGGACCCTGCTGCTTTGGAGTTCACTGCAGCCCTTTACTCAGTGATTGGGATTGTAAAGCAGTCTGGCTGGGTCCTTTTGAGCTTGTGGCTGGCAGAGAGAGATGAGTTACTCACAGGCTAGCTTGCTGTCAAAACTGGACAGAGCAATAGCAAACGCCTGCAGGGCACACATGGGGTAGTTGTAGTCCATTGTGAAGACGTCCTCTGCCACACGACCAAACTGCATCACAATGTAATCCGCTGCATACACGAAAGAGAGAATACAGGGATGAGAGTACAGACAAAACAAACTGTTTCTAAAATAAAATCCATCTCGAGTATGCAATATACAGTACATTCCATGTTTAGTGCCTAAAAAGTGTTTGAACAATTTTGGACACTAAAGTAACACTTTAATATGTCAGATTTTCATTGCATTACATGCAAAATATTTAACTAAGTGGCTTTGGCAAACAAATGATGCTAGAGCCTTTCTCAGAACTAACATAAATTTTCTAGGTCACTTTTTCTATTATTTCTAACCATCTGGTCTCAAGGTAATTTCAGATAGATGTATGATGTCAGTTCCCCTTGTGTTCGATGAGGGATAGCTCATCGAACATTTTGTCATCATTTACTCACCCTTATGTCATTCCTGTATGAGTTTCTTTCTTATGTTGAACATAAAAGATGATATTTTGAAGAATGCTGGTAATCAAACATTTGATGGTCCCAATTGACTTCCAAAGTACTTTTTTTCCGTACTATGGAAGTCAATGGGGACCAACAACTGTCTGATTATTCAAAACATTTCAAAATATATACAAACCCTATTCCAAAAAATTTGGGACACTGTAGAAATTGTGAATAAAAACAGAATGCAATGATGTGGAAGTTTCAAATTTCAATATTTTATTCAGAATACAACATAGATGACATATCAAATGTTTAAACTGAGAAAATGTATCATTTTAAGGGAAAAATAAGTTGATTTTAAATTTCATGGCATCAACACATCTCAAAAAAGTTGGGACAACAACTTTTTTGGAATTGGGTTTGTATATATATATATATATATATAATTTTTTTTTTTTATGTTCAACATAATAATTCAACTTATACAGGTTTATATAGGTTATAGGTTTACTTAAACAGGTAAATGATGACAAAATTTTCTATTCCTGTCACACTAGCAGAATAACCATTGGTTGTAGTTCATCAAAATAACATGTTCCACAATGTTTGACAATCAGACTTTTTGACTCTGTTTTGAACAAAATATTAATTGGTTTATATATTGAAAGTTAACAGACTTCATTTTGATTGAAAAGTGTTTTAATGCTACATTTCTTTTAAATAAATGGCACTTGTTTATATACACATTACTTAATGGACTATATTAAAATGAAAACTTTAATAATTTTACAAAATAATTGAATTAAAAGCAAAAAATCTAATGTTATATATCCATTTATATCCATATAAATAAAATGTTATACCAATATATATATTCCACTACAGATGGATTTTAATTCATTCACTACATTTAAACATTGATATTGTTCCGAAATAAAAAAATTTCCTTACACTCACAATGCAAACCAAATAGTACACAAAACTAAGATTTTGAACTTAGAACTCACGGTCATTGTCATGAATGATCTGAAAATTTTTGACAGATGCTTGGGTGACCCTGCCATGGAAGTTGAGCACATATGATTGCGTATCATCGTTCCACACAGGCGTCTTGTTGTGAAGCTCTATCACACTCTCAGTGCTTTTGTTCTGCCATCGAGCCAGTAGAGACTCATGCTCCTGCAAAACAACAGACAGATGTGGGATATTCATTGCCTCGTACTAATGTTTTACATAAGACATACATTATCTAGTATTTTACTGGTCATGTAACACAAATGACACAAGTAAATTAACAAACTGAAAAAAATTTATGTAAAAATGAGTTTAAAAACTTCAATATGATATCACATGCACATTTGAACAGCTTCTTCTTATTTTATTTTGAGAACTGCAATTACCCTTTTGATATTCTAGCTATGTATGCACAAACAGACCAACATGCTGCATTTACGCTATCCTAAACAGCCTTGCACTCACATTTCGAGGCCTTATGGAGACTCTTTCATGGTCCATGTTCATTCCAGGAATAATGACACTCATCTTTCGAGGCCCCTTGAACCCTAAAACATTAGTTTCCTGCACAACAGAACACAAACATCCGAATTACTCGCACATCAACTTACTGAAGAGGAATTCTTAGAAATCATTCATCTACACAAGCATTTCATTTCCTGTTTTTCATTCATCAGTGGTATTGCTATGTATTAAAACAACCAGCAGAGGTCAGGCTTGGCTCATCGTTGCTTGTGGCTTTAAGACTAGTGCCCTTAGGGCTGGGTGCTGGCTCTGTGGTGGCTCTGTGCTGGCCATTGACCAAGATCATGCTCACGAACTCACGTAGCAGATTGCGGCAAGCTCCTGTCGTAGATTCCCTGCTTCTAGGCTGGAGGTGGTCTTGACTGGGTTCACACCGCTGTCATATACCGTAAACTTGGTACCCATAAGGTTCGATCTGTGGGGATGACATCGGATGAAATTCATACAATGAAGTTTCCATCGTGGCACAGCGAAGGGATGAACCTCCCAAAGATTGTCAAGAATATGTTCAGGCCATAGCTATTTTACACCAAAATTATACAATTTTTGAGTAGCAATACGAAACATGGCATTTTAACATTTAATATAAAAAGTAGTTTTTAAACGTAATGAGATTCAGACATCAGCATGCACACAGTTGCTCTCTTCTCATATGAATGAGGACACTCTAGCACACAGGCAATGAACCCAATTACAGTTTTAAATAGGTTCAGCAGTGCACACATGCACACAAACTCATTAAAGGTCCCTCTAGAATGTTTAGAAAGAAACACATGCCTCTTGTCTGTAAGAACAGCATTGATTTAAGTTACGCTACCTTATGAAACACACAACACAATGAATCATTCTTAAGTATACCTCAGTTTGCCAATAAAGCTCTCGCCGCCTCGTGATAGGTCAGTAGGGTCGATGGAGATGAGGTAATTGGATGTTTTGCTCTTCTTTCTCTTCCTCCCGGCTAAAAGGAAAACCTAATGTATAACAGAATTTAATTGGTCGCCGAATAGCAGCACAAAACTGACATCAAAAACATCCAACAGAGATTGAGACATAAACAAACAATCAGAGACTGTGTTTCCATGTTTCCATAAACAACTATTATTAGAACACTAGCATTTTCACCAGCTAAAACAATGGTTTTAAGTCAGTTATTTCTATCTTTTGCTGTAGTATGTCAGTAGGGGCATTCATTTTGCCATTAACTGTAATAATCCAGTGAGATTTTTGTCTGACAGCAACCAGTGCTCCACACAGAGATCTGATCTCATCATCATCCAGTCTGTCTGGAATGACACGAAGAAACAGAGCAAACTAAAACAGACTAAATCCAGAAGAACTGTGGCAACGTCTCCAAGATGCTTCAAGAAGACTACCTGCAAAGCTACAGTACTGTTAAAAGTTTTAGCTATTAACTAAATTAAATCAAAGTTTAGTGTGACCATCCTTTGCGTTTAAAGCAGCTTTTGCCCTATAGGTGCACTTGCACATAGATTCTCAGGTAGCTTTGCAGGGAGGTCTCTTGAAGCATTTTGGAGACGTTGCCACAGTTCTTCTGGATTTAGTCTGTCTAAATCCTGTTTCTTCAGATCACTCTCCAAAAAATCTCACTAGATTATTACAATTAATGGCAAAATGAATGTTAGGAAACATAAACTGATATTTCCTTCTGACACACTACAGCAAAAGATAGAAATAACTGACTTAAAACCATT